AAATCAAAGAACTACAAAACAAACCGCCGGTTCATGTCACAAGTACCTTCTACGAACCTGGACAAGTACCAACATCTCGTCSAAMCGAACCYGTTTCATGTCCTACTGATGAAGAAGATACCAAGCCATCATTACTTCGTCAATGTGGCCATTACTATGCAAGTCAAATATCAAGCATAGACCAGACTACTAATAACTCATGTCTTAATAGCGATGAAGAGCTTCAAGCGTTGGTCTCAGCTGTGAAGGGATTCGATTTGGTCGTAAAAAGCCTATCTGCCGACAGGCATGGGTCTGGCTTAGACGGATTTTCAATCGAATGGCGGGTAAGTTGTCTTGGTGAATAACGTGAAGGCAAAGCCAAAGTAGGACCAAAACTAAACACAACTGCAAGGAGATAAAAGAATTTCCCACACTTCTATAATAAACCTTTTTATATTTGCAGGAACTTGAACGACTACAAGAGTACGATAGCGCGTCGAAAACAGCAAATGCTGGTACCATGAATCAGCCCAAAAACAGATATAAGGACATCCTGCCATGTAAGTGAACACACAACATGCACACTGCGTTTGTGATGCAATTTTGTGTTGCTAGTGCAAAATAAGTTTGAACTTTTCTTTGTGATTGTGCAGGATTACATTGATAAAATGTTGCGATTTTGCTTACTCAGCATGCAGAGGAAGGCATCTTCCTTTGTGAAGGGTAAGAAATCTTCCTCTGGTCGCATGGGATAATTTTTGCTGCAATAGAATTCTGATGTAGCTTATATTGGATCCCATTTTTACAAGTAATGTTAGGTGTACAAGAGAATGTTTGTTCATGGATGTTTGGATGTTAATGATATTAGATTAGTTCAATAAACTTCACTTTAATCCATCATGTTGTTGCCATTTGCATTTAGGGGATCACACAAGAGTGAAGTTGACATTTAAAGACGARAGTGATTATATCAATGCTAACTTTGTGAAGGTAAAGTAATGATTTARCTAAACAAATGTTGTAAAATTGAAAAAAAATGATAGAAAACTAGTGACAAAATGGGCAAGGAGAACAACAGTAACACTAACTATGATTGAACTTTTAGAATATAACGCCTCTGTCACCATCATTTATCGCGACTCAAGGACCAATTGCTACAACCCTCACTCACTTTTGGCTAATGATTTGGGAGCAACAGTCAAATATTGTCATTATGCTTACCAGAGAGGTGGAAGGCAACAAGGTATTGTATCTCATATGATTATATATAACTATAATAATTTGTAGTGTAGACACACACGGATTGTTGTGTTTTTCTCTTGCCAATCGAAACATGACTTCGGCGTCAAAATGTTTGTATTTTCCTGCACTTTTTTGCTTACTTAACAACAGTTTAAAGCAGAGTTTTCATCCATCTGAATAAGATTAATATTTTTATCGTTTTTAAACTATTTATAAGATATATTTCTTGATAATATGTTTTTATAAAATTAAAATGAAGGTAAACATAAATGAAATTTCGAACTCAAGTTCCTCAAGACAACTTTAGCGACATAGCGGTACTAAACATTTCGTTTCCAGCATTTTTGCCCTAGCTCTTATCTCTTTCTAGAAATGCATAATCAATTATACACACATTTGATTGACAGCTGATGTGTCACCAGTACTGGCCAATAGATGAAGGGCACACCGTTCTGTTTGGACCAATAAGAGTGTTGCTTAAGACAGTCATTACCAGTCCTTTATCAGTTAAAAGGGTCATGCATGTACAGCACACCGATGTAAGTATGGTTGTTGTTGTTGTTTGTTTGTGGTTGATGCTGCCGTTATCAGTCAGTGCGTCAGTAATTTTTTTGGTTATTTTCGTACGTGACAATTTATATTTGCCTTTGTCTATAATGAAAATTGACCAATTTTTACATGACAACTGTATTTGCTAAAAAACTGTCATATTGTGTGTCAAATCAATATTGTCATTGTGGGCAAGATGTGTTGCAAATATTTTGACATCGCGAACTGATTTTTTACAATTCTTTCACGGTTGTGCAATCGCCTCTCGACAATTTCCATTCTCCATTTTATGCGACAACCTTAAAATAGGTATATGTGTGACTCATAATTATTGCTCGTGTKGGCTTAACTTTACTTTAAGTAACTTCTAACAGTATAATTGTAAACCACTAAATAAAATTTCCTTTTTTTCAGAGCGACGATACGTTAATTGTTACTCATCTTCAGTTTTGTGGCTGGCCTGACAAGTAAGTTAAGCAATAGTTGACTTCCATGCATTTTCATAGACACGACTGACGAGGAGTAGTTATCAGAAATACTTTATACGATAACTGAAATTATATTTTTAAATATATTCATAATCTCCAACAAACATTGTCTATTGAACGACAAATTGTGATACAAGTGTTTTTTTYTTCTCATCATGATAACTGGCAATCMTTATCAAACTTCTTAACTTTTTTAGAGGTGTCCCAGAGACTTCTGTTGACCTGTTGTCATTTGTGAATGTWGCGCGTTCATGTTATCAGCAATCGCTGAAGGAATCAGAAGAAAAACCARTAATCGTTCACTGCAGGTATTTACCCTTTATTGGSATCCCTTTTTCTGCTTAACAGAGGAGGACTGGTAAAATGAGAAGGAAYATTGATACATGGGTCATATTGTATTATATAAATTCTTTGTAAGATGATCGATGAAAGATCACGTTAACACGTTTTATGTTTGTGAAATAGTGCTGGGATTGGACGAACTGGAACATTCATCGTTCTCTACTCAGCGATACAGGAATTCAATGCTAATCGTGAATTTGGTGAGTCTTCGATTCCMGTTGAATCTGCCACTCATTCATTCACTCACTTTTGTGTTAACTGTTGACTTTCATTCTGGTAGTTAATTTGTTMAAAAGGCAGTTTATAAGAGGATAGCGAGTTTGATTGATTGATTAATTGACTGTATTATTCACTGATTATTTCTAGTCAATATTCCTCGTCTTGTACGCAATMTTCGATTACATCGCAAGTACATGGTACAGAAGCAGGTACGTTTTCTTCATGTGACATTTTTTTATCAAAACACGCATTAACACTTTTATGACATGTACCTTTAATCGCTCTTACAAGTCCATGGATGATTTTGTTGCATTGTAGAATACTAACAATCGTTATTATTTCAGGAGCAATATGAATTTTGCTACAAAACCCTGTTGTTTTACGCAAGGCAGTTCCTAGATCTTGGTAAGTCGTGGAGGAGAACCCTCAAYMCTATAGTAAACACCAAACTGTAAGACATTTTTCGCTATTCTCGATGTGAACATGGTCTATCACRAATAAACCACGCYTCTACAGTCAATCGAATGGCTGRATTTGTCCACAATTTGGTGGATACAATTATGTATCAAAGATAGTTCCWATATTTTAACCTTGCTTTYTTCGGCAATAGGAGGATTTCTTGTGTTTTAGTCATTTTGTGAAAGTGCTTATATTCTGTGCTTATTATTTCAGAATTAGCATCGCTGACTCCTCAGAGAAGGGCCAGTCTAAACCTTGGACAACTTGAGCCTCATCCTGTGGGAAAGAACGCTCCCACAGCCGAGGACARCAGACCGCGTAAGGGATCCAACGACGCGCGGTTCATAGGAGAACTAAAGGCAGACGATTCACTGGAAACTAATGATGAAGAAGATAATAAAACAGAACAATCAATATCGGAAAAGTACTGCAAAGGTACGCTGGAGACGGACGCTGAAGGAACAAGAAAAAAGAAGAAAAGTACGGACCRTAGTGAAAGTACTGAGRGCAYAGSGCRACAGTCTACTAMTGACACTGGTAAAGTTTCTATTGGAAAAGACGAAGAAGTGAGATTTATTAAAGACGAGGAAAATGACTTGGAAACTGAAGAATTGGAAACTCAAATTGATGAACAGAAAAGTGAGGAAGAGCAATCCTCCTYAGAAAGTACTGCTTTAGAAGATAATAATTCTGATGCGAAGGCGAACACAAGTGCTGTCCAARCTGTCGACCGAGATGAAATGACWTTTGRTACAGATACTGGAACTAAAAATAACGATTCTGCTACTATTGAGGAACAGGACAGTTGTAAAGATGATGTTCATAGCGAACTCAAAACAGAAAGCGAAACAGAAGAGTCTCTTCAGACTAAAAATGAGGAAACTTAAAAATGACCCAAAATAAAAAAAATTGTATTTGATATGCATGAAATTGCTGAAATTTATATTAGAAACATTGTATAATAGTTGAGCTTGTTCGGGGCAGGAATTTGCACATTTTACGAATTGAATGACGTTCAATAAACTTATTTGCACGATTATTTGTTTTTCTTATTTGCACGATTATTTTTTTTTTCCTGAGTAAATTGCGTTAACCTTTTTTTATATACTTTTGTATATTTTCATTTCTCTCAGCAAAAGTATTCCTTTCCTTTATTTTTGTTCTTTTTTAGTTCGTTCAGTTCTGAAGGCTAAGCGCTAAGAGAATTCTGATTTATCATAAATTTTTACAAAAAGGGAATACAAAAGAAATAACGAGAAAGCCTAGGTTACTTTACTACTCTAACTGTAATGATTGCTATTCAATTTGTTTTTAACGAATTATTATTTGCTCGACCACACAGTGACTGCAAAACGTCATCAATGAACAAGAACTTCAATCAATCAAAAAATATCAATTTCCAATTAATAACTTTAAATTTAAGGAGTGAGAGAAACTGTTTGCTCTACAAGCTTAATATGTAAACGATACCTTTATGATATACTATCTATATATTAACGTATAAACAAAACGATGATCACTCGAGACAATTATCAGATRTTATTTAGAATTCTGGTAGGCTATATTGTTGTCATGGAGATGATTGACAACTGACGACATCTTGAGATGCATGCGAAGTGACACATCTCATAATGTGTTCGTCATGAAAAGAAGATTCCACTAGTTTCATTTTCTTGCTAGAGTGAACGCACTTAATCCGTGCAACTGTACAAAATCTAAGTAGTACTACTTTGTACTAAAAGTGGACCTGAAGCAATACGGTATATAGAATGCTTTATTTGTATCAATTCAATTTAATTTGCGTACCGCATGCACGATTCACTAAATACAACTAAATAGAACTATTTAGTTTGTGCAGTTGCATGGATTAAGTGCGATCACTCTATCGTCTTTGTAGTATCATTTTGCCAGCCAATCAGATAGCAAAATCACAGGGTTGTGTTTAATTTACCAGTTAGTATACAGAAAAAAATGACACAAATATACAAAAAACGGTTTTATAGCAAATGTTTAATGCTAGAACGAGCAATTAAAAGAAAAAGAAAATACAATCAAAATACATTGAATAAAAGTCTATCTCACGTGCATCCGCGGACCTTCGCGATCGAACATACCACTGACATAGCCCTCTTGTCTCCTTGCCGACCCAAGTAYAGAGCCAACAAACTGTTCTAATTTGTTTAATTCAGATTTCGATAGCTAACTGAARATGGGCAAGAAGAGCTTGTGCATTTTGCTATTGGGACTTTTCCTCTCATTCAATGTAAGTTGCCAGAATTAATCCCAATCTGTTTGTCTATGTATTTTACTGATTTTTATACACTTTCTCTAGTTCCTGYATAACAGTAAACCAGCTCATTTTGACGCCGGTGACGTGGCCTATTAATACAGAACTCTCTTTTTTTCTTTCCACTAGGAACTACAAGAGTCAAAGGCAGGTAGGTTTTTTTTAAAAAACGAAAATATTATCTAAGCTTGTGAGGACAATAGCCAGTAGCTCTTGAGAGGAGAGCCGATACTTGGTCATGAAAGGCTAACTTCATCTCTTTAACACAAGCTACAACAAGCAAGATAATAAGGATGGAGGGCTGTCCGTAGTCTATAATCATTGTAATTAACACTTATATATGTCGCGGTTAATACTTTTTTCGTCGAACTGTATCGATTTTGTAAGCTTTATTGCAATAGAAATCTGATGTGTCAAGGATCACGGATCACAGTTCGAACATGACATGATTGGACCGATTACCGTTTTTTTTGTTTGTTTGTTTTTGTTTTTTGTTTGTTTGTTTTTTGTTTGTTTGTTTTTCTTTTTGCACAGTCATATGAGGACCGCTGTACAGTAGCCACAACTGTCGTCTTGAAGTAGCTATTTGGCTATTTTAATTGCAATTTCGATTAATAATAGTCTTTTGTGATAGCCGTATTGTTGCTCAAATGAAGTACGATGTAAATGCACAGTCATGATTCTTGTGATTTAGTAGATTGCAGCGGTGGCCATCAAAATGGCGAGCGTTGGATAGAACAGCAGGGACCACAGCAGTGCAAAGACTGTGTGTGTAGCGACGGCAAACCTRAGTGTCAATCAATGGWGTGTSAMTATGAATTCAATTGTCAGAAATATACACCATTCAWGCCTGGAAAATGCTGTAGCGCAAAATGTGGTATGTACAAAGAGGATATGATCATAATCTATATCCAAAAATGTTTGATATATAACGCGCGCTCTGATTGGCTGACAACTGTGTTTATATCAGAGGACAGAGATACGGCTTACCGGCGAAATGTGTTTTTGGCTCGAAAAACGCAGAAATATTTTATAAAATAACTATAAAACGCCCTCTTGTGACTCTGTCCAATGATATAAACACGGGTGGGAGAGTTGAAATGCGCTCGTGCTCTTCCTCTTTACTCCGACGAAGGATTAAAGTCCGAAACGTCATTAAGTTATTTCACCTACTTTTTTACGGTGTTAAATTTATCTTTTCATACAACTTTTTCAACTCCCACCGTGTTTATATTAGAGGACAGAGACACGCGCGCCGTTTTATATTTCTTAAGCAATAAATCATTTTTACTTTCACTCTCAGCAATGTATAGTCAGTATATCATCCCTCTCTTAGAATACTCCCTCCTCCCTCCCTCCCTGCTTGCTCCCACCTCCCTCCCTCCCTGCCTTCCTCCCTTCCTCCCCCCCTTCCCCCTTTCTTTCTTCTCAGTTCCTATCTTCGTCAATACGTCATTTTTTTCCATTTATAGCCTGCCACCACGATGGTGTTGATAAAGTGGATGGCGAAGAGTGGGCCGATCGCAGGACTTCTGGCAAGTGTCTGCAGTGTCAGTGTCTTGGTGGTGAAGCAAGTTGTACAGATACAAAATGTTACGAAAATTGTGACAACCCAGAGTATATTCCYGGCCAATGCTGTCCGCGCTGCTGTGAGTTGCSAATCCGTGTTTGTTTTTTGATCTTTCAGTGTTTTTTCGATTATCATATTATTCAGAACCCAGTATCGATAGATTGCATAATAATAATTCTTTTACATGACGAATGTTTGGAATGATCTAAAATTACTTTTTTATTCATCAGTATAGCATCATGCATGCATTTCAGTTGTTTTGTACAATTTTAAAGTCATAGTTTTGTTTCTGTTTTAGCGCCTAAGGCTCCGGTCACAGTTCCGTGGGAAACACTGCCACCTACTAGTGCTTTCCCACAATTCCCGTTTCGACCACGTCCTCCCGGCCGTGGCAAACGAAGGTAACACGAGTTTATTTCCACACAGAATGTATGTAAAARCACAATAATATCAGCTATGCTATCATAATCGATGGGCGCACGTTTCATGTCTTTAGTAAYTGAAAACACTGAATGGAATGGCCGAAAAAATTGGTKCACCTTTATCAAGCCTTTTTTTCTTTTTCTTTCAGAATCAAGKGGAAATYAAAGCAATAATTTRCACGAGAGATCTTGACTTAATTGGTTTCGCGATGGTTTATATATATCAGTATAAATAAGCTTATGTCTGAAAGTTAAACTACATTGTAATAAACAACAACCTCGTTCCCTGTGTTTCTGTGCTGTTTGGTTCGGTTGTTCAGGTTGTTTTTTAATTAGTTTCAACAGAAACTTAATTTTTGTATTTTCTTTTTTGTTATTCAGCTTTTAATCCTTTATTAAAACCATTGTGACTAAATATAATTGCATTTCAAAAGAAAGTKGGCAAAGCATTCTGGTCTTGGTCATAACGCAAAGCGCCTATTGGTTTCTAAGGTTGATAGTTAATGCCCGCACGGCATGATGGTACAAGTTACATACTCTGCGTCCTCACCCCCAAGGCCCTCTCTATAGCTATTTTCCAAATTAATGGCTGACGCTATATGAGGACCCTGACGAACGATGAACCAAGGCGCTTTGTGATTGGATAATAAAACCGTGATTCTTATACCGCTCGTCGTTGGCTGTTTAATTTTTAAGCTATGACTGGGGGTTTGTTCGACCTTTGATTGCGATACGCTCAGTGTATATTCTAATTTTCCGAAGAGTTTTAGATACCTTTATAGAAGCAAAGAAAAGAATGAAATTTAAAGCGACTACTATCAGCTGGTAGACATTTTAAACATTGACGAATAATTCATCAARTTTTCGACTACACATCAGTAATGAATATTAAWGACAGCGCACAGATAATTYARTTATRGATAATGTCGGTCAATGAAGTTATTATTCAAAGATAAAACAAAAACGACCGCCAAAAAMGTTCTCAGTTTTTTTTTTCAAATGAAATTGATTCAATTTTACTGTTCCAAAAAAAAACTAGAGTATTCATCTTCGAAGCTGGAATAACCCTAGCTTTTATATCATTACATTCAAGAGMACGTTTTCCCAACACGGCTGACATCTTGAATKCAGTTATTCTTAAAGACATGTGCTYCCTGTGRCGAATCATGAAAGACTCCTAATCATTCTATTCARGGAACCTTTTCCACGATTCAGTCGTYAGTTAATTATCTCTAATTATTCTGTAAGTTTTGTTACGAAACTTGTCCACATCCTTTACTTAACTCGATCAGTGAATTACACAACAGTGTTCTCAGTCTGCTTCAATTATAGTCATATTTTGTGTCAAGAAACTCTCTTTTTCTGAAGAGTACACGCCCCTCGTAACTTCATCATAAATTAAGAGTGTATTGGTGTCATTTTTGTATTATTTTAAAACGATATACAGACAGCTAGAAGATAAACTAAGATGAACGAGYCAAACATATCACTCGCCAACGTCTCTAACATCAGTACGGTTAACACCTACTGCAAGTATCGGGAGCCTGACACCGATGTTGAGAAAATTGCCAAACGCACWGCCTACGTACTGSTCRTTGTACTGGGGATTTCTTTCAACATCTTCGTCATCCGCCGCCGACCGGTTAGCTCAGTAGGTAGAGCATCGGACTTTAGTGCGGGAGGTCGCAGGTTCAAACCCCGGCCGGACTAACACTCAAGGTCTTAAAATAATTGAGGAGAAGTTGCTGCCTTTGTCTTTCTCCATCTGCAAATGGTAAGATCTTCGCGTCCTCTCGGATAACGACGTAAAATCGGAGGTCCCGTCTCTCTACACTTCACTCACTAACCTGTATTAGAGGGACGTTAAAGAACCCACACCACTGTTCGCATAAGAGTAGGGAATGATTCCCGGTGTGTGTGGCTAGGCCTTACTACTAACCCATACTAATTACTAACCCCTCATGATTGCAAGCCGCGTGGCTGCCAATTGCGCCTTAAACAGCGGTCCGTGTGAAATGATCTATACATGTGAAGCGCCTGTGAACTCAGAGGATATTGGCGCTATATAAATACTACATATTATCATCATACTCGCTGCTAAATATACATTACGCAAGAACCTGCACCATTTGATCATCAACATGGCCGTCTCAGATGCTCTCTTTATCTTCATGAGTTTATTGTACGATGTTCCATGGCTGTCTTACAATAAATGGAGCATATATCCCAGAAGTACACTGGGTCTCATATTTTGAAAAACTATAACATTTCTGTTCAATATCTCATATAGGGTATCATTACTTATTCTATTAGTAATCAGTATTCAACGATTCAGAGCAGCAGCAACAACTTTGAAAAGAACGAGACCATACACACTGAAGCAACGTATGGCAATTATTGCTGTCACTTGGTTGATAACAGTGACAAGCCTAATACTTTTCGCGTATATGGCAGTATATGGCAAGGGTACGTGGGCAATGATGTGATGTATGGTATAGCGATATACTGAATAACAGACCAATTAACTTTGTTATCCTGTTTCAAGAAGCTATTCCTGTTATCCTCTGTTGTTCAACCGTCTTATTGTTAGACTAGTAAGAATGAATATATTATAATATTCATTCTTACTATAGTCTAACAATAAGACGGTTGAACAAACTACAGGGCATCCAAAATCACCTTAGCGAAGGACAACGAAACATACGAGCACGTCGAACCCAGTCAGCCGTAAGAATAGTTCTCGCCTCGGTATTGCTGTATGCATGCTCTTGGTTTCCCAACTTAGTTCTTTACGTTGTTCGGTTGACCAACGCTATCTTCCCGTCAGCTGATATAATGAATTCCTTACTTTGTATTGACTGGAGATCATTGTACTTTATCATAACGCAATTCCTACCTTTAGTCAACTCCTGTTTCAGTCCTTGCATCTATGTTATATTTCTGTCTGATTTTCGTGACGCAGCCAAGAAGATACTCTGTCAAAAACGGGCAATCAACCAGGCATTAAACAACCCCATCGAACTGCAACCGATGAGTCCAGTGTGTAACAGAAGGAGAGGTAGAAGAAGATCTGATGAAGATCGGGACATTTAGACTAGCTTTGAACAATGTCTGCATACAAATGAAAAAGTGCAAAACGAAAACGAACTTGAACCATGACATTTAGACTAACACATCCGTGTTAGCAAGAAAGCAATCGTAACTGCTACATTTATTAATATATTGATCAGTGAACATTACTAATGCACTAAGGTGAAGAAGTCCTCTTCTTCAGCTCTTTGAACTTTATCATTATTACTATTATTATAAGAATTATTATTATTATGTGAATAAGAATAACATCGGATTCACTTTAAGTGCTAAATGTTAAAAATAAAAACCTTTGAATCGTTGTCATTTGTTCTTCATTATTTTCTCTCGTTTCGCCCTTTAGTTTTTTTAGTTTATTTCTTCGTTTCGTTA